CCCAGGTGCGGCCCCATCCCATCCGCTGGGCTGAGCATGCCCTACTCAAAGGGGTCCCAGCCAGTCTCCATGAACACCCTGCCCACCCACCTACCTGCTCTGTCCAGTACCCCTGGCAGTGGATGCATGGCAGACAGGCACATGCAACATAGGATCAGTTGCTTGCCCCCTCCTCCCCCCACCTGTGCTGGGCCAGGTCAGCATCCCCCCTCCCCCTACAACAGGTCACTGAAACTCTTAAAGTGGCCCTCCAGCCCAAATAATTGCCTACCCCTGACTTACAGTGACACCAAGTATTTTTCTCCCACCAGGAAGGTAAATCTTACTGTATGTGACTGCAAGTACCAACATAGGAACATGTTTTTACAGACATAAGGTTACAAGTTTGTTATTTGTAATGAAAGTTGCCACTAGAAATGCTAGGCACAGTTTCTACAGCAGCAACTACTGTCATAGAAATGACTTCCCACAATCCCTTCTCAAAACAAGGAGTATGCTCCTTTCAGCTAATTTAAGGAACCTTTGGCTCATGAGGACGGGCTCGGCTGTGTTGCTTGAAGCAATGAAGAACTGAGGAGCATGAGTCAGTGGTTTTCTTTCCAACATCTCATACAGATGGTCATTGCTTGTGGAGCTACAGGAACTAGCAAATGTCAGAGTCCAGGGCAGAATCAAACAGCTCCGAGCCCTGACTGTAGCTGTCTTTTCTTTCTCAGCCTTCTTCCCCTACCACAGGGACACTGCACAACCACTGACCTTCTGGAGAATTACGATAGAAATACTGCATTTCGCAGTCTGCTCCTCTGACTCTCCCCTCCATGATCCCTTAGTTGTTTTCCTCGGGGCAACATCAGTTAAAGAAACTGATACAGTCCCTTACTGAGCAGCAGCAGTAGCACTGGCACATTATTTATATAACCTGCCGCTCAGCAAAGTGCCTGGAGGGATCCGATTAGCATCTGTGCAAAGTGCCAGGACACCTGATGCCAATAGCCAGTGCAAGCAGCAGCCACCTACCTGCAAGCAGCAACCGCAGAGACAGTGAAAATTGCAAGGTGGATGATGGTGATAAGGTGCCTCTGGGTTCCCGGCCAGCTCTGCCTTTGCTGCCCGTCTTCCAAAGGGAACAAGAGATGAAATGCTGGAGGCAGCATGCAGCCCAGAGCCAGTCTGGGACTAAGGGATGCGGCACCAGCAGCATGTGACTGACACACCCCTCCTCCCACGGCCAGGCTGAATTTCACTGAGATCTGAATCCTCTTAGACCAGCATTTTCCTTTTCTTTACCTACATCAGCAGAGCTCCAAACACCATGCAGTGTCAAAGATTGTATGTGCTGGCCCCACACACCAGTGAAATTCAACATAAGGGACCTATTCTAACTCCTCTTGTCTTATGGCTATTTTACAAGGACACTGTAGATGCAAAACAAACTAACAAAACATTGGAGCAAACAGACCTAATTCCCTCCTGATGTTACCAATAACAACTTAGATCATTAAGATGGAAAATTTTCAAAATAAATTTTAGTTTTCATCACTTAGGCAGTTTACATCTTCATACTCAGGACCAGTCATTTCCATTATTTGTATTCGTTTCCCTTTCTGATCCTCTGTAAGATGGTGTTTGGGTTGCAAACACTGTAGAGAAATACATATTGCTTTAAACATCCTGTTGAAATCAGAAATGATTAAGCCACCAGAATTTTGAATGAAATGCCATGTTTCTATTAACTTGTACAGTGTAGCAGCTTTTTCTTATAAAAATTATATTTGAGTCCAAACATCAAGTAGCATTTTTAACTATGCTTTGGGCTGAAATAATGGTTGTAAAAATATTGTTTTCCATCACACAGTGGACCAGGTGAGACAAAGGATAGCCGGGATGTATTCTTGACCGTGCCCCTAGGCACGGTTTGACTTTGGCCAAATGACTCTTTTCTGCACCTAGCAGTGGGGCTCCTGACTCGCCATCTCCCCGGGCGTTGTGAAGACAAAGCAGATGAAGCAAAATGCTTTGAGGCAGTTGGATAAAAGGGCATACAACCCCCAACATCCTTGTTTTATGAACGTTGTGAGAAACACCATGTGTCTGGGTCCACAAAGGCAGTTTTCCTTAAGTGTTACCAGGGCTAACTGTTCTTGTGGTGTGGTTTAGTACCTGCCGAGGTGTTGGGGCTTAAAGCCCACTTTATGGAAATGGGAAGTTACTCCCTAGCTTGCTTCTGCAGCCATATGGCTGAGGGCAGGAGAAACCTGGGGGCTTGGGCCTGCACATAGGATGCTTGCCAAAAGATTTTGGAAATATCTGAAGCCCCTAGTGGGGTGGAAGATGTTTGCCCTTTGTAGGGTCACTTACAGTTCTGGACTGACTCACAAATTTGGGCTTGATTTGGCTTGGAACACAAAAAATGTCCTAACCCCACCCCAAAAACGCTGTCTTGCTGCTTTTGTACTGCTTCCAGTGCTCCTAGCTGGGCTCAAATACTGCTCTGTGTTGTAATTATGATCTTGGTCTTTAATAAAATCCTTTCTTTCTGGCCGCAAAAAAAAAAAATCACAGTGAGGAAGGGCCTGTGCGAGGCAGCGAGCGGCGCTGAATGGCTCGCATCGGGGACTGCTCTTCACCAGAAATGGCAATTATCATGCAATACAATTCACCTATTGAGGTACTTGGCTGGGCTTCAAAGAGAGCCTGTCCTCTGCTGAGGGCAATCGCTGCCCGCAGACAACAACAATCATCAAGAATAAGCATCGTCATCATCACCCTTGTTATTAACAGCAGCCATAACCACAATAACGCAGGTCTTTGCCTAAGGGAGGCGACGTGGCAGTGTGAGCAGTCCGGACCCTGCCCTCGGGAAGGGCGGGAAGGGCCGGGCCGGGCCTCCCAGATCTGACATCCCGGCCCCGCCGCCGGCAGGTGCGCGCGGAGCACGCCGGGAGTTGTAGTCCCCGCGGCACTGCTCCCCTCCAGCCCAGTCTCGGCCCTGCCCAATAGCGGCGGGGGCGGCTGCAACCCCACGCGCCTATTAGTCCCGGACTGGTTAGTCCCGCCCCTCCGTTGCCCCGAGCAACCGCAGCGACGCCGGCGGCTGGGAGCTCCGGGGCTGCGCGACGCCGACCCCGGCTGCAGGCAGGTGGGGCGGCGGCTGGCACCAGGCAGGGCCGGGAAGGCGGGGGACACCCGCGGGGGGCGGATCTCGGCTTTGGCAGGGAGGGTGCGGGAGCCTCCTCTTCCCCCGTGCCGGTGGGGCGGGCTGCCGAGCCTCTGGGGACTCCTCCCCGCGGCCCCCAGGCCCTGCACAGCCCGGCTGGAGCAGCTCCCACCCCGCGGGGGGCAGTGGGGAAAGCACCAGTGATTCGAGGCAGGGGCGGGAGGGGACGTGGCTCTGAGCACAGAGGGGACAGGGGGAGTCTCTTCACCTTTGGGGACTCTAAAAAAAAGTCCCCAGCAGCTTCGGCAGGGCGGTGCCGTCCAAAAGCAGGGTGCAGCTGCGTCCATCCCTGGACGCCGTCGAGACGAGGCAGGAAGAGCAACAAGAGATCCTGGGCTGCTGGGGAGGAGACGAGGCCCCCAGTGCCCAGGGAGTGCCACAGGGCTGGGTCCACCCTACTATGATGGATGTACTGTAGGTTTTAATGAGCCAAACACCTCTGTTCACAACACAGTAGAGCGCTGCAGACCAGAGGCTGTCACCTTGCAAGGACGCTGCCTGTGCAGCTGCTAGAAGTTTGACTGGAGCAGAGCAGAGCAGGCCAGGACCTGCTGTCAGCACCCCTCATGGCCACTGGAATTCAGCTTGGATTTTCCCCCCATGCAGCTGCAGGAGTCGACTCCTGAATCTTAGCTTTTATTTAAAACTATGCTGTTTCTAGCATGTGTGGTTGCAAAGAAAACTCAGACAATGTCAGTCCAGAGTCAAGTGAGGCGTTGTAGTCTTCCTGAACTACAGGCAGTTGTAAACCATAGATCAGAAAGGAGTGCACTGGTCCTTTCTTTCTTATGGGGTATTTGAGACCTAAGTGACATTTTAAACATTGATGTTATTAACCATCAGTTGCTGATGATTTTAACAAATAGATCTAGCTAAGAGGCTTATCCAACAATCTCTAAAAGCTTCCAGGGGTAGAAGCTTCCAGGGGTGGATCTAGGGAGGATGCAATGGCAAATACCCGCCCCCCCCTGCCTTTTCAGTCCACCATACTGTGAGACCAGCAGGTAGGGATTTTTTTTAAGTCCCTGAAGCAAGTAGTAATTTCCCCCTCCCTTCTCCTTCATGCTCAGCAGCACATCCTTTCCCTCCCCTCCCCTCCTCCCTGCCCACTACTACTTCTGTCTCTGGGACTGGGGACAAAGCTCCAGTGAGGCTTCTGCCTGCTCCAGCTGGGCTGCACCAGGGACAGCAGCAGGAAGGTGTCTGCTCTTCTGGGTCCCCACAGTGTTCTCTGCCAGTCCAGGAGCAGTCATGGGGGAAGGAGCATTTTGCTGCTGCTGCTATATCTCTGAATCTGGCTCCATGTGCAGCCCAGCTGGAGCAGGACAGGAGTAGCTCTGGAGCTTCCAACCCCACCCTGAGGTTAGCTGGAGACAGTGACATAAGCAGCAGTGGACAAGGAGCTGTGGGGGAATGGGTGGGGAGAAGAGGGCACGTGCTACTTAGCATAGAGGGGAAAGGAGAGGGGAGGGAAGATTCTTACTTGCTTGAGGGACTTTTAAAAAGTCCCCTGCTGATGCTTCTGCAGCAGTCTGTCCACTGTGGTGTAGGGGGCAAGGCTGGGAGCCAGGGTGTAGTAGCCATCTCTGTAGCACAAGTTGCTGCTCCTGCACCCCCTCCTCCATTCCTAAATCCTGGATCCACCCTTGAGTGCTTCTCAAGGTTTTTTCAGATGGCAAAATCTCCATATGGCTCAAATGCAGATCTTGATCCAGAAAAAGCCTTTAAGCACATTTTTAGCTTCACTGGTACTACTCATACGTCCAAGTGCTGTACTGAGTCAGGGCTTCAATTATAAAAAAAAATCCCTCCAGCTTCATGCTAGAGGATTCCTACAGTGCACTCATGCATTGTTAATGTACACATTTGACATTTGACTCTCCCTGTGCCTGAAGAATGGTGTTTGTACCTAAAAGCTTGCAAAGAATATTTTTCCAACTATTTAGTTGGTCTAATAAAAGATATATTTACCCAAAGAACCATGTCTGGATACATTTGAGGCATATATGCATACAGCATGGAAATATATGATTCATAAGCAATTCAAGCTTCAGCACTGATGTGAAAATGTAGCTCTTTTCAACAACAGTAGCTATTTTCTTTGCAGACAGAAGTGTGATTGTTAAGTTATCAGTATTCCTTTAATTTAAACCTGATATTGCAGCCCAGAAAAAACAGGTAAAGTATATTTTGGATAATTTTCATGTGGCTTTTTCAGAAAATTTGATGATTCAGTTCTAAACTGTAATAAATCATAGTCCTAAATTAGTAATGCACACAAACCATAACCGTAAATGATCCAATTAGACCACTAATGAGTCATTTTTCTTTTTCTGTGTAGACAGCTTCCTTAGCATTATGGACAGCTAATGAACTTTCTCCTTCTATCCTACCCAGCAACTTCGTAGACTTGTTTGATAACTCAGAGTGTTTCAGTCCATTAAATGATTAGGAAAACTTTCCACTCTTTACTTTTCATCTAAGGCTCAGGACATCCTGCCAGTTTCATGAACCAATTCATCTACAAATTGTCAAGCACAGATTTTACCTGAACACTGCTAGTTATTATATCATTATATCATTCTGTCCTTCTGACAATTTGTGCTGTTATGAAAGGTTTTGGATTGTACATTACATGCATCTGTGGACCTAAAGTGCACCAAAGATAAAAAAAGCAGAGGATAGTAAGTGCTATCTTGTTTTCAGTAACTATTCTTTGTCCTTGTTTCTACACTTTGATTTGCTTTCAGGTCAATGTTAATTTAATAAGTGTTGTTTCTAACCTTCTCTGTCAATTAGATAAATGTTAATGCATGAAGCTGTTAATTAATAGGGTTTGTATTAGTTAAAAAGAAAATGTAATAGATTCCTACTCTTATAAAATATAACAACTAATAGAGATAAAGTAGAAATGGAATGTTGCTGAAACATTTCTGCTTGAGACTGAAAAATGGATCCCTCTACTTATGAATTCCATAGTATGTTAAGATCCTCATTTGGGTTGCAAGTCCACCTCTTTGGGGGTTTTTTTCTGCATCTTATCCACTGGTGACCTAATAATTAACATGTAAGGCAAGTAATAGTGGATAAAACTGATCCAAATAGTGGTAAACCTGATTCTGAGGGTGTCTGTTTATCAGCTATTATTCTAGAAAGGGAATCAGAGGACCTCATGGTTGATCCTTTGTGATCTGGGGCAACTCACCAACAGCCACATTTTCAGAAATGACCCGATTTTAAGCACTTCACTTTTTGAATATTCTACTTGAGACTTTGGGTACTGAATCAACATTTAGACAATTAAAATGGAGGTGTCCAGAAGTACAAACAGCTTTTGAAAACGTTGGCTTTTTTTTTTTTACTTTATGAACCAATAGTTTGCAAGATACCCCAGCTTAATACAGAACTATTTTATAGATTTGGTTCATATCAGCTACCCGCAGAGCTAGTAAAGGTAAGGGCCTCATTCACCACTCTTGCACTTTGTGTAGTCAGGTGTCCCCATGTGAAGTGATCAAAAAAGGTAGCATTGCTCATCTGTACACAGGTCTAAATGCTCGCTTCTGCTTCCATTGCAGTCCATAAACATTTTGTCTTAAAGAGTTCTAACCACTAACAATCACAGAGCACCGAGTAACAAATTTTGAGTCTAAACTAATTTACTGGTTGAGATGCTATAAGAGATGATTAACTAATTAGGTACTTTTAAAACTGTATTGGTAATGCTCCCAAATAGTACTGGTGAAGTCCTCTGCACTACTAATAGGACCTGAAGCAGTCCCATTGATGCTTGTTTTAATACACCTCTGTTGAACTGGTACCTTTCACACTCCCGACAAACCTTCCCTGCCATAACCCCCATTGTTTGTACACCCATTCAGCTATACTGGGGATTGGGCGGGGGGCGGGGGTGTAGGGTAAGGTAGGGGGAGATTTAAGTTACCTGGAGAATGTTCACGCTGATTTTGAAGAGATTATTTTAAGTCTTTTTTATAAGCAGAGTATCTTTGAAGTCAGACAAAGATACTTAAGAATTTACAAAACATCTTTATATTGTAACTTGTATTTTTCTTTACTAAAAACAGCCATGTGATTAGATCTCAGCCATTTGAATGGTTCCTCTATTCGTGTGACTTATGGTTTGGATTACTCAGCTGAAAAAAATCATCAACATTTCCGATCTGTTTTTTTCCCCCACAACATTTACTAAGCAAATGGCGAGATGAGAAAATGTGACTGTAGCATACATTATTTGGTTTGTCTTCTCTCTGTATCAGAAACAGACTACTGGTAACTGAAAGGTAGCCAAAGTAGCAGTGGATAAACCTTGAATTCTTCACTTGGGACCCATTCCATGGAAAAATTAGTATATATGCTTAGTGGAATTATAAGTCCTTGTTAACTTCATAAAATGGCAGCTCTAGAACAGCAACTGTTGGAATATTAAATCAACTCATTATAGTGAAATTATGTCATCTGGTAAAAGTAGGAAATTTCAAATGATACAATTCATCAGTGGGCTTAAAACCAAGGGAGCATATTTGCACGAAGCAGTAACAATTAGCAGAAGTGCTAGAAAGCCAAAGGTAACTGTCTCTGTGATCCAGTCAGAGAAGGGGAAACAGTTCTAGAGAACAGCTACTTTAAAATAAGAGAATTCAAATGAATGGCCTGAGCCATGGGTAAATCTAGGATTTCCTAAAGTGGGTGTGGCACACTGTCCCTTAGACCATGGGGGGAGGGGGACAGAGGCACAGCTGGAGTCCCCAAGTTCCCAAGGGACACCCAGGAGCTGGGCAGGGAGCCCATTCCCCAATGACATGGCTGCTCCTGTCCCAGAGTGAACAAAGGGAAGGGAGTGCGGAGCTACTCCTGCCCTGCTCCAGCCAGGGGCAGTGGGGAGCAGTTGAATGGGCAGCTGGGCTCAGCAGGGCATAGCAGCAGCAGGACACAGTTTCTTGCTTCCAGCACCTGCTCCCTGCCCACCCTCTCACCCTGGTGTCCTCCCACTGGCTGGGAGGCAGGCACTGGAAGGAGGAAACTGCTGGTGCTGCTGTTCCTTGCTCCCCACACAGCTGATCCCTGCAGTGTGAGGCAAGAGTGAGTCAGGAGCAGCTCTGGGGATTCTCCCCACCCTGTCCCCCTCTGCCTGCATCAGTCAGAGACAGTGGCATGCAGATCCCTCCTTCCAGTGCCTGCTTCTGGACACTGGGGGCAGGGGAGGAGCAGGCAGGAAACCTGCATTAGAAGGACAGACCTGTGCACTGCCACCACCGCTGTTCTCTGCTGACCTGGCATCCTTCACAACAGCACCCACATCTGGAATAGGGCAAGAGAGACTCTAGGGTTTGCCCTCCACCCAGATCAGCTGGGGACAGCACTGGTAATGTTTGAAGGAAAGTGCAACCACACCACTGACACCCCTCCCCCCACCCCACCCCCACCCCACTTTTCCACCTGGATCCACCCCTGGCATGACCCTGCTCCTACTAATATTGATGATAAAATTCAAATTGATTTCATCTGGGGATGGATTAGGTCCCAGATCCAGACTAGTCAGGGGTGGTGCTGGGGGTGCCTGGGGCAAATAGTAACCCCAAAATTTGCCTTAGCCCCCCTCCATAGCCACCCTTTCCAGCACCCCCCCTGTCGAAGCCCCACCATCTCCTCTGTGGGCTGTCACTGCCCACCCCACACAGGTGAGCCCACCCCGCTCCCACCCACAGCCCGCAGAGATGTGGCACTCCCAGCCCAGCCCACGGTGCCCATGTCCTACCCGCAGATATGCTGAATCTTAAGAAGAAAGTCCAGAATGTAGACAGCTGTAAATGTTAGTCTCAATTACCTCTATGGAGGAGTGGTTCAGGTCCTGAGACCTCTCAAGCAAAAGGGGTATCTTTTCCTGGCAGTCTGGCCCAATGGTTGAACTAGACTATGAACTGAGGTCAGGAACTGAAGTAAGCAGCTAGGACGTGAACTAACTGTCAGGAGTTAAAAACAGAAGCTAGGAAAGAAACTAATAAATGTCTAGAGAAAGAGTTGAAGCAGCAGCCAGACTTCAGTGTCATCCAGCTAAAGTTTTATTGTTTTGTGCTGCCCTAAATACCTAGGTTACTATTCCCAGTAGCGAGTCCCACAAGGTGACCAAGTCAGTGGTTACCCAAGGTACAGATGTAAAGGCTGACCTGTGTGACTGTTTCTTTTACCCCAGTAGTGGACTATTGTAGTCCTGACAGTCTTGGACGAAATTCTCAGGCCAGTAGCAAGTTTGACCCCTTGAGGACAACTGAGTAATGAGATGTATCTTTCCAGACTGAAATCCGAAAAATGTCAGAAAGTCCAGTCTCTGGCAAGTCCTCAAGTGCTA